CCTCTCTCCCCCTCCCCCCCCCCCCCCCCTTTCTCTCTCCCCCTCTCTCTCTCTCTCTCTCTCTCTCTCTCTCTCTGTAGGTTCACATGGGCACGCACATGTGGAACAGTGCTCCAGCCAGACGAGGCCGCAGGCTGTCTGTGGATGGGCCAATGGCCTTCCTGGGTACCAACTCTGTTAAGTTTCCTGAGCTCTTCCAGAAGGACATGGCAACAAGAACGAGCAACGGAGACCCCACCAGTTTCTGGAACCAGTACGCCGCAGCTTTCTCTAACGGCCTTGCTATGAAGACAAATGAAATCTCCGTCATCCAGAATGGAGGCCTCCCACCAATGTCAGGAGGTGTGGGAAACGGGGGTAGCTCTCCAATCGGTGGTCTGACCGGCAGCCTAGATAAGCTGCACAGCATGGAGCCCAACGCTGCCCTGGCTGGTCTGGAGAAAATGGCCAACACGGAGAACGGGGCCCACTTCCGTTTCACGCGGTTCATGGAAGACAATAAAGAAATTGTCACCAGTTAAAGTGTACGTCCTGAGCTGCAGGCACAGACACATGAAGGTGCCTGAAGGCATCTACTGTATACATATGTAAAAGAAAAGAAAGAGAACAAGACAGGGACTAAATCAAAAGAACTGGTTCGCTCACCATTAAATCTTTACAACCACAAGTGTGAAGACAACTTGCTTTTTTTGTACAATGTACATGTTATAGTTTTAAGGAGCTTATTTATTAGTGATAATAGCCTTGCTTGGAACCACGTGGAAGCATTAACAGTTAGGTTTTTGTTTGTTTAAGCCAGAATGGGTATATATGGGTGCTTAAAGATGTGCTTTTGAAATTTAGAATATCTGGGTAGATAACCTGACCTTGGCATTAAGTTATTTTCTGTCTGTAGTTGCTATAACCCAACTGATGTTCATGTGATGCATTAGCCCTGTAATAAGCAAACAGTTTTGCTGTAAATAATGTACACTGATCTTCTGTAGATGGTCTAACATCCGTGTCCATGCATCCCCCACTCCCCGTTCCCCTTATCAAAACAAAATCAACATTTTCAGGCGAGGGACTTAAAATGCTGTAGTTCCTTTTCTTTCTGAACTTCTATTTACCTGTATTTTATTTAAGAAAGACAACACATTGAAGTTTGCTATATTTCAAGGGTTTCTTTAGTGTTAACCTGTTTTGTTGTTACTGTGTTTCTGTGTATTGTACCTTTTTTTTTTTGTTTACTTCTTTATTTCCCACTCAATTTCTATCTCTTATCTTTTTTGTGGCTCGTATTTCTGGTGTTGTTGAAAGCAAGTCAGTTGTTAAAGGGGGAACATTCGGTCTGGCCTCTACCCTGGTCATTGGGAAGTAAGACAACCAATCAAATGAGCAAGATTGCTTTTAGTTTCTCAGCTGGACACTCACATTGCTGCTACAGTATGTCCCACCATCAAGAGTGACATCAAGTGAAAAGTTGTAGTGTTGAAACTTCTGTAAATTCAATCATTCAGATGTGGAAATACAAACAAACAAACAAACAAAGAAAAAAAGAAAAGGTACAAAAGACATATGAGAGAGAAGTCCACCACAGGCAGGGACAGACTAAATGATAGTGTTTTTATAAATATAAATATATATAAGGGGTTTGAAAAAACCTTTGGACTGTTACATGCACTTTCCTGGAAAGTTGGAAGATCTTTATTGGGTCCAGTTTCTCTACACTTTAATACCTACTAACAACTAAGATACTGTAATTCTTTACTCAAGTAATCAAATACATCAGTTTTCCAAAAGAACGTCTGTGGCGTCTGTGGTTTTTTTTTTTTTTTTTTTGATTAGATTAAAACCACGGCAAACGACAAATCCAGCATCATCAGAAGTGTTGTTCACACATCTTCTGCTGCTTCATTCTTCTCAGACACTTATATTCATATCCTCCTTCATATATATCCTATCCTTCATATATATATATATATATTTATTTATTTATATATATATATATATATATATATAATTATTTATTTATTTATTGCTGTAAAGTGAGAACACTAACCACTTTTCCACAGTTTCCTACGATGTGTTAAATAAGAACAAAACAAATTTTGTCTTCAAATGTGCTGTGGTGTGTGTGTATGTGTATGTGTATGTGTGTGTGCGCGCGCGCGCGCGAAGTTGTGGCGTCTCTGCCTCTTGTGAGAACGTGCCGCAGGTACTGTCAAAATAAGAGTGTGTTTGTAAATGTAGAGAATGATCTTGGAGTTAGGATTAGGATTAATATATTTACATATATTTTCTAATAGTTATTGTTGTATTCTGTCTGTGAAGAGCTCACAAAACAGTGCGCGCGCGTGTTTGTGCGTGTGTGTATTTAATCGCTCATAGTTTGACTTTGTCTGCTGTTATTTGGGAACATTCATTATTCGATTATCAGCCTGGATTACCTTTATCGTTTGTAGCTTTGTAACACAGTATACAATTATTTTATTCGAGCATTTTATTTACACAATCATTGAACAATATCCCTTTAAATTAATAATCTTAATATGTTTTTTTTAAATACCTGGTTTGTGATAAATAAGAATTCCGTATAACCACCTTTAAAATAACAAAGTGATGTCGGAATCGTCGGTATGTTGTGTCGTTCGATCATTTTTCCACGTTCGGATTTAACGTTCCATTAAGAAAGCGGTGATGATCTCATTAATATCAGGCCCGCAGCTCTGAAATCAGTTGTCAAAAGCAGCGCACGCTGATAAAAACCTTTGAAGGCGTCCGCCTCTCATTTCTTTTTTAATTCAAACTGAGGGGAAAGAATCCCTTTTGTATTTCAACAGCTGCATTTAATTTAACACATCGTTGCACATCCTGCAGTACAGGATCTGTTAATTTCTGCGCAGCGTCCTGGGCTCTCCTCACTCCTCTGCACCAAAAAGCCCGATGCCCAATATTTACGTTTTATATTTCAGGACATCCAAGCTAAATGATCCTTGCCCACAGTGCCTGTTTTCTTTTTAACACTTCACATCTGTTCTGCTGAGCTGTGTTTGTGCAGCGCATCTGCGGCGTCTGACTGAGACACACACACTCTCCCTCTCACACACACACGCTCACGGAAACTCTTCTGCAAAGGAATCTGCAGATACGAACTTTATTTTGATTTGACTCCACTAGTTATTATTATTATTATTGAGTTTTTTTATTTTTTATTTCTGTTTTCTGCTGACAGTGAGATATTGGGTTATTTTTTTATCAATTTATTCTGAATAAATGATAAAAACATTCTTTTAAAGTAATTGTTTATGTTGTCTTAGTCACACTAAGAGATAAAAAAATAATAATTGAATTTAAGATAAACTATTCCTTTAAAAAATACCCTTAAAATCCCTTTATCCTAATTTACACTTGCATTAGAGGGTTATATTTGAGGTGGGGATGTTTCTACAGCCTAAAAAAAATTATCACAACTAAACAAAAACAGTGTTTCATCAAATATTTTCAAAACACAAGACACATCAAAAATAGGCCTTTCCAGAGTCGACTTTTTCTCCTGAAGAACACGATGCTCCCAAACACTGTCAACATTCTTCTCCAATTGCTCTACAGCCATGTGTAACATGTTATGGTGCTACCGGCTGAGTCTGAACATCTGACTGTAACAGTGAATAACTGTCAGACGATAACAATAAAGCAACAACAACACTGATCTCACTTCATTTTTTTTTCAAACCAGCCATTTTTCTTTTATTAAAAATAATACCAAACATATAACTTTACATTCAAATACTTTTCTGTATAAATCATGGATTTACCATGTGCCTTATCATTCCCAATTTTTCCAGCTTTTTTAATACAGTCCTGAACATTGGTTTCCTTTTGAGTTTATCTTTCACATCTTCATGAGACTTTTTTTTTGTTTTTTGTTTGTTTGTTTTCCAGCAGAAAAAACATTTATTTTGGCCTGGATTATTTGAAGTTTTAAGGGACATTAGGGCATAATTGTGTATCTTCCTTTCTTCACACTTGATATAAGAGCATTTAGACTTTTGTGTTCTTTGATGTATTTTACCACAGGTGAACACAGACTTACACAGGCCGATCTATCTGAGTGGTTCAACCACTGGTCTCATCCCAGTTGGCTCCTCGCCTGAGCATCGATTGAGCTGTGCAGTATTACAGAAACACTTGAATCTCAGGTGGCAGGAATGTGTACAATTGATCTCTTCCACTGTGGCTCTCAGCAGTGGCTTTTTGCTCCACAACACACAGCACCACAGGAAGAGGCGGCCGAACACAGTGAAACACAATCGCTGCAGACTGAGGCTGAGAGGAGCTGTCCCAGCCTGCCCTGCTTACTGTCACTGTTAACTACAGCCCAGTTAGGCGTCTGAAGCAGCACATGTGTATTCATCACATAGAATCACACTACCTTGATAAAATATGCACTTATTTGCATTCTTCCACTTCCATTGTGGATTTATTCTTTTTTTTTTTTAATATTGTGTTTAACTTTTTTTTTGCATCTTTTCTAGTCTAAATGGCATCACTGCCTTTTGCTACAGCATCTGGGGAGATTAGGAATCACCAGCAGAGAAACATTACTCTCTTTAGCTGCGAGCCACTCCTGTCCACTTACTGTACACTCGAAGGTTCATTAAAGGCTGGGCCTTAAGTAAAGGCTGTATGCACAGCTGCCACACTGCACAAATGGAAGCATTTGTCTCAGTGAGAGCTGAACGAAGCTGGGGAATATTTTATACAAAAAGTTTGTCATACTCATGGCTCTTATGTGCTCCGTCCTAAAATCCCCAGACAATAACTGTAGAACGTGACCAACGTGTAAAGTCTGTACACGCCCCCTCCAACAAATGCAATAAAAACAAAAATGTGTAGTTTGTTTAAATAGACCAATAAACGAAAATATACTTTAAATTAGTTTCCACTGAAAGCCTAAATCTCTTTGTCAAACAACTAAATTAGAACATTATGTCTGTGATGTTATAAAAAGGCAATAGGCAAAGGAAGACTAAGATGCTTAGACAACTGTCATTTCTGATGTTCCTCTGTCAGCAGGCTTCAAATTTTACATACTTTGATGTAAACAAAATTGGGTATAAAAGGAGCATCCACCAATGCTGCTGTGTGTATGACCTTGGAGCTCTTAGGTGCTATTGCATAGATGCTTAGACAACTGTCATTTCTGATCCGATCTGATCAAAATCCTATAGTGCTGCGATGGTCGCAGCCACAGGGCTCTGGGGCTACTCCAGGAAATCATTGCTCCTTAACTCAGTTCTCACCTGCATTATAGAAGTTAATTCAGACTGTGTCGTGCAAAAGATCAAGCCACAGTTAAATTTTGACAGAAACTGCATTTGTTGTTTTGGTTCGAAGACAATAGAAAGAAATTAGTGGTCAGACAAGTCCATGTTTTAAACCTTTTTTTAAAGGAGCGACATCTCTGGAAATGGGTGTAGTAAAACGGCAAATGTGGCCTCACTTCCTTAAATAAAACTGTGTCTTCTCTGGTAAATATGTGATGCTCTTGGCTATGTGTAATCTGGACGTCCTCTGAAACATGTCCCAGTTTGTTTTTAGACTACTCTTGGTTAGCATATGGCAGTGTTGTGGCCAGCTGCTGTCTGGGCTGTGTCATGATAGTGTGAAACTGAAGATTGAAGCCTGTTTACTTCATGTTGTTTCTACCTTCCTTCTCAGTTCTGCAGAGGAGAGGTCAGATTGAGATGGAGCTGCACAGAGGTGTCTACAGGATGCTGTGTCTCCCCCTCCCACATCTTCTGCCTGGTACTGAGTCGATACACACTGCAGCCTGAGGCCTGGCCTGGACTCCCCACTGAGTTTGTAGCTCAGATCAAAGAGCTGCAGAGAACAATGGTGAGCCTCATTTAGGGAGACTTTAGTTGACTTTCTCTGGGTTTCGCTGGCCACACCTGCCCACTGTCAGTGATGCTGAGGTGATGGATCCACTCTCTGTGAAACACATTTATCATAAAATATTCATAATTACTACAACATCAGCAAGATGCTCCAGAAAGAGATAATAAAGAGCCGCTCTTTAAAGGATTTTGGAAACATCTCTTATTAAAGTTAAATTGCGATTGAATTTCTCTCACCTGTCCAAGCAGGTTGACGAACATATGGTAGCCTTCAGTTATCATTAAAAACACAGAAGTTATTTAGTTTGTCCACTGTGGGCTAATGTAAAACAGAGTGATCCAAACATGGCAGCCCTCAAAGAATAGACCTGCTCCTGAAGTGAGTAAACAGGGCTTATTTTGGGGGGTAATGAAAACATAGAATCATTCTCTCGCCTGAGTGTGAACTCACAAAGGCATCTCATGTCATTTGCTTATCAATGTTTGGTGTGTTTTATCTGTGTTATCAGTGGTGCCTATAATTCCCTCCAATATGACCTCAAATTGTACTTTATTCTACCAAAAAAGTGATTATTGTTGTTATTTTACGCTCCGCTGTAATTTGCTTTTGTCATGTTTTTCCAGCCATTTCATGCTGGTTTTATCTTCCCGGGGTTCTCATTGTGTTTCCTGTGGAAAATGGAGCCCGTCTGCAGCGTGTACACAGCTGGATGGAAGACAAGACCTCCAGATTGTAAGTACAAACATGGAGTCAGATTTTTAGGGCCTGTGCTCTTTCACAGTCACCGCAAACATGTCAATGAAAGTCTTTTTAGATTTGCCCAAAATCGGACATTGTGTGTCTTCAACTTGCTCCTTCTTATGAAGTTCTTAGAGATGGTTTCTTCACGTCATTTATTTTTATGGCATGGCAATCTGGAGGCTATCCAAATGTCAAGGTCATTTATCTTGCTGTTCATCCGCTCCCGGGCCTTTTGTGTGGTGAGAAAGAGGCACAGGCCCATATTGCATTTCATGACCTATTGTGTCAGAGGAGGACCCAGACAAACAGGTGGGAGCCCTAATGTGAGCTCCTCATGGACCAGACTCACCAAATCCAGGACCCAGTCTTTAATAAGACGCTCAGGCTTGCCACAGTGCTGAGACTGGCCACAGTGCTTGGTTTTCTTGGTGGTCAGATGGCAACTTTAGGGATGCTAATGAATGTACAGAAGAAAAAAAAAACACGTTTGTCCCCCACACTGCCCCCACTATCTGCAATCTGCGTCCCTCGGTTTATCATCAGTGCTGAAACCGCAGAGCCGTTTTACCAGGCCTCTACTGCAGCGGAGACATTTAGCCTATTGTGATGCTAATTCTTTCAAATTTGATGTCTAAAGCTTGTTCTTTTTATGAGACTGGCTCTTTTGACAGAGTACAAGCACCTTTTTTGTCACCACACAGGAACCTGTAGTCACGGGTTGCTCTCATTGCCCCCGAAGGCAAATTTAATTTAAAGTGCATTTCCATTTTGAGATGAATCACATGTTTCCTTGTTTTGTACAGTAGAATGGAGACAGATCGTCTTTCTTTGGTTTTAAAGAACAGCTCTGAGATTAAGTAAGCTGATTGTAGCCCTTTCACCATCAGAATTACGGTTGGTAACCCTAGCCCGGCCTGTCTGCTCCGGGGCTTAAACACACACAGAGTTGGGGACACTGGATGTGAATGTCATCTCACAGATACTGTTTCCTCATCACAGTCTTACCTCCAGTCCCACAACCTCTGACACATATTCTTATTCATTCTCACAGAGCTGAAACATCTTAGTAAGACAGAAAGATATTCAGCTACAAAGGTTTTGTCATTGGGCATCAAGATGGGATGTCAGGCAGACTAGGAAGAAGCCCCTCAGCTCCTTGTCAGGTGTGTGTGTGTGTTTGTGTGTGAGATTCCCAGTGCCGTACGGAGATGTGTCTTGAATTTATTGAATTTGTCATTTTCGGCCTGGGAGTGAAGAGGGCACCTGCGTGCTGTCGTAACTCCCCGCACCAGCACCGTCACTCGCATCACGTAGTGACAGATGATGTGCAGGGACAGCCCTGGAGCAAAGGAGAGTTTCTGCACAAGTCCATCGTTGCACGTGTGCATTATTCATCAGGCGCCGGGTAAACAGCTGAAAGCAAATTTACTTTATCAATTTTCTCATAAAAGCGCAGACCAAAAGTCACCCAGGGTTTCAGCACCAAGATCGTAGCTATTTAAGAGTCAAATTGATGCTCACTGTCAAAAAGAGAGCCGTTGTAGCCGCGGATACTGACCACCCACGTCAGTGTTAGATCAAAGAGAGGGACGGCAGTGGCTGAATATTCACTGACGTTATTGGAGTGTGATATCTCCGACACAGTCACTAACTGTGGGAAATGAAGTTGAGCTGATAGAGATTTTTCCCTCTGTTCTGGTGTCTTTTGGGGGATTTTGTGCTGTGGTACAGTGTATCTGTCTGAGGTCAGGATCACATATGTGCCACCCACTCTGAAAGACTCCTCACTGCTGCGGTCAAGGTTGTTTTTCCTCACTGGACAACGTGTTGTAGGCAAAAGGAAAATGGTTTCCTCAGTGAAATGTGTAATCAAATGTCAGATAAGAATAGCATGAGGTCATGGCAGTTCCCACAATGTGCTGTTTGATATGAACGTGTATGTGTGCCCGTCAGTGTGCATGACTCAGTTTTATTATCGTAGATACACTTGAATACAGATTATCAGCCTCCCTTTAGAGAATTTTTAATACTTTGCAAAGAATTACATTCAAGAGGGGGACGTGGTACACGCTAACTTTAGGGAGGCTCACATTGCAGTATTTTATACAAAGAATCTAAATTTTGTCGTAAAATTTGATAGTACCAAGGTCAAAATGATGCTCCTCAAATACTTCAAATACTGTATGGAGACGCTTGAGCCATTTACTGAATAAGGGTGTGGCGTCTACAGTTAGCCGCGGCAACGCAAAGAGTTATTTTGATCGTTAATAAAGTGTTTATCTTGACAAATGGTGTGTTAAACATTCAAGCAATTATTAATTTAGTGAAAAGGGACATATAAGTGTGTCCACAAATACCCATTGCATGTTTATGTGTGTGGTCTATGTGTGTTTGTGTGCTGGTTTAATGCTGTGCTGCTTTTACGGCTGCTCTCCTACATGTCTCTCTCATGCTCAGTTAAGTCGGTGCCACCTGTGATTAATAAGAAATATCCCATATCCAACAGGTTAATGTTTAATCAATCTCACTGCCTGAATGGACCGGGTTGTTTTTAACCATTGCATCACATTAAATGCATCGAGGCTTTCTGCAGCTAAAATCCCATTATTTCTGCTTGCAGCTAATGTTTATGAGTCACAGGTGAGGATATTTAACACCGAGCCTTCGTGTTTGTTCTGTCTATCAAGGACAAAGTTACTCAGGACAGAATAGTGTGATAGGGGTTTGAGTATCTGAAATGATGACATCAGGTTATTTTCATATCATTTTTTTTTTCATTTTTATCTTCCACACACGTTCTCTGTGATGTGTGTTTCTTCGTCAGTGTGAGCTGCAGCCCTGTGACTTGACTCAGACACTTGCTCTATGAAATCAACACCCACTCAGCAATAATGCTCTCTGAGGCTTGGCCGGTTTACTAAATAATCGATCCAAATAAAAGCAGCAGATAAAATTGACTGACCCTCATATACTTAATTATTGCAGCTATTTGACCAAATAGCATTTTTCAGGATGCTGTGTGTCACACGCCATCAATATTCCTTTAATCGCTGTTAGTTATTGCCCTACTTTGTTACTGCGGTGGATGGCCGGTCTCTAGTGGTCAGTTTGGCCCAGGGCAACGGGGAATGAGATGCTAAATGGTTGCGCAAACAATTTGATTATGCCGTTTAATTCCCGTCATATAGATCTGCAGGGCCTGCTGATGCACTCACTTTAGTCAGACTGTACAGAGAGCAGAGTGCTGACCTGCCCACATCACAACTCCACCACCAGCAGTGGCCCTGAAAGAGCTGGATTTCCCCTCCGTGGCCTCACAATCAATAGTGTCTGCTCTCTGTGGGTATGGTGTGTGTCTTACATATTTCACCTCCTACCACAGAAGTGTCAGCTCCTGTTTGATGGCTATGACTGAGCAGTGTTTGGCGTATGAGGACGTGTGTTGGAAAATCTGACATTCGTGACCATTTGGGATTAGTTTTTAGCCAAGTTAGGAAGACCTGACCATGAGTTGACGAATATGGTCAAAGATCATATCTGCAGATCTATCTGCAGAAGTGAAGCCACAGAAGCCCTCACCAGTTTAGCAATAGTTCATTATCTATGTGTAAGTCTAGAGGAAAGGCTACATAGCAATCAATTTATGACATCAATAAACATTTTCCTGGAGAAATTCTCTGGGGTTAAAAAGAAAAACTATGGTCACTGTGGCAGGAAACCTCTGTAAATATCCAAACCTTCGTAAAGTTTGTTTGATTTTGAGACCTAAAAATTTGACTTTTCAAATAAAGAACTCTCTCCATCTTTACTGTACAGCCGGCGGCTGCTGTGGTTGAGGGAGAGTTGAGGGTTAACTCTCGCCATCGAAACAGACCATGTCAGCCAAGTGAAAAATGAGAAATGAGGGCAAGCTCTTAGGCCCACTTACCCAGTTCCCAAAATTAACATTTCAATTCAAAACCAATAATAACGCATTGTGTCTGGCATGAATGAGTGCTGCTGCAAAGGGAAGGCGATACCTCCTGTTCCTGTGTCACTGAAAAAGCTCCTTCATCTTCTGCTAAAGGGCCCACACAGTCTGAGGTCAGCCAGTCAGCCTTGGTTACACTGCACAGGCATGCCTGGCTGAACGGCTCCAGCCTCCCAGTGCATTTACAAAAGCCAGGAACTGCAAACACACACACACTCACGGTAATGCTAATATCATGCTCCGCAAGTTGATGGCTCTTAAGTTTTGCCAAGGACTACTTAGCTCATTGATACAAAAGTACACTTTGTATGCCGTGAACAAAACTGCAGTAACTAACCGGGGTATTCAACCGTCCTGCAGGACATTGTGATTTAAAACACAATAGTTATATAAGGTGAAATAATCTCTTCCTTCCTTCTACTGGTCCATTCTGTAGCTGAGATACTGCACCATATATCTGTGATATCCACTCTTTGCCATGGTATATCTGTAAAAGGACTGACTGGATGTATCTGTTTGTGCTAAACCCTGTGATGTTCTTAGTGACACATGATCCCAGCTACTCCACAGAGGCCACAAACCAAACACTTTATTGAGGGTTTTTTTTTTTTTTTGGGGGGGGGGCATTTGGCATTTCTCAATGGGCCTGGGAGCCAGGTTCTGTGGATCTGCCAAAAAGGTGTCACAGCCAACATCTCCTGCATGCTCCCCTCCATCAGAGGGCAGATTATCCAACAGGGAGATGAGAGAGAGAGGGACAAGGGCTACTATCAAGTGAGCACCATTTGTCCTGAAACTGAAGGTGTGTAATAGCTATCTGCTAGTTCCCAGTACTGTGCACAGGATAAAAACAAGTTACAGAGTGCTGTACAGCTCCCAGTATCAGGTGGATTTGTCACTGCTACACTGTCATTCATTGTTGTAGGGGGGAGCTGGACCCAAACCCCAGTTATATACTCCAGCTATATAGATATAGATAGTGTAGATACTTGGTTCACTTCTAACTCACCACATTGTTCATTTTAGAAAAAATAATTTTGAACATTACATTTTGAAAACATATAACACTAGAGCCAGTTTTTCTCTCTGAATCTTGTGTAGTAAATATGGTGCACATTGTTTTCAAACTAATCCTGCATGATTTTGGACAGTAGGAGGTACTGGAACATCTTACCTACACGGGGGAGATCATTCAAACTCCATACAGAGTATCAGTTACCACTTGCTGTAATACAATTACTTTTTAAAAGGTTTGTTGTAGTTTACAAGTCAGGAGAGCAATAACTTCAATTTATATAACTCATAGATATATTTTTTGGTAGGTGGTAACACATCCTATGTTTCCATGAACTATGTGTACATGAACAATGCTAGCACTGCTGTGTTATCCCACAAGTGCTGATTTGAAATTCAGAGCAGCAATAATTCACACTAACCTGTTTATTATAGAGCTCAGTTCAGACTAACAAAATAGTCTTAAATCAAATGTAGTGTAAACACACTGACTGTGAGGTTCATGGACAACAGCAACCACATCAGCACGACCAACCAAAAGGCTCGCTCCACTAATAGGGCCATGTTGGGATTGCTGCCTGCTTAGGTTGTCAATGAATCTGTCTTGATCTGAGGATTAGGCCAGTCGTTCCAATTACAGCTTGGTGCCTTGAGGTTTGTCAGGCATTGACACAGACGCCTGTCAATGGATCCTGTGCATATTCCAGGACCCCGCTGAGTGACAGGCGCCAACACGACAGGAGACTTTGAAAAACAGTGGCTGTCTTTGTGCGTTTGTGTGTAGGTGTCTAATTTGATAACATTTTTCTATCCACCTGCCTTTAGCTATAATGGTACAGACACCGTGTACAGATACAAGCAAACAGTTGACTTCGGATCAGGGTGTCAAACTAAAAATTCACAGTGGGCCAAAATTGAAAACTGGGACGAAGTCACAGGCCATACTCAATATTTATTGAAAAATTGACATCAATTGTGCATGTTTTCCCTTTTTTCTAGATATGTAATGATTAATTGTTTTCATATGGAAACAAACTTAGGTTTTGCCTAAACATTGAATCTGGCACAACCAAAGCTCAATATTATAAACATGTGAGAAAATACATTTGAAATAAAACACATATCAGTGATATTTGTTTCTTATGTTGTCCTCTATCTCTAGCCTTTTGTGTTCCCAACACCATAACAACCAACTAAAAATGTGTGTGATATGATATAGTGCGTATACTGCTAATACTATAAATTCCACCAGTATATAGTGGCTGTATACTGGCAGGCCAGCTCTAATACACATTTGATATGATCTTGCGGGCCAAATATAATTAAATCATGGGCCAGAGTTTGTCCACGGGCCTGAGTTTGACACCTGTGCTTTAGATCAAGGAACTAAACTAGACTCCCAGATGTGCTGGGACTCACCAGCATATAGAAAGTGACTCTGATGCCTGCAAATATCTTGTCATCCTAAACAAGCCACAACACGCGCGAGAGAGAGGAGAGAGAGTGAATGAGAGAGAGACTTTGTGAGTTTGTTGGTGAGGGCTGTTGGGGGTTCACTGCGTAACATGTGCAAGAAATAGAGCATCCTGATTGGCCAGGCCTGCTCAGTAGACTAATCAGCTCTTTGTAGCTTTTATCATTTTCCTCCCAGACCAAATTGCTGTGCCTAAAAGCATTATGGTAAAGGGAGAAAAAAAAACTAAACTCACTTCACCTCAGATTTCACTGAATTGCACCCTTTTCTAATAAGGGTAAAATATAATGACAGTGTAGTGTGAAATAGTGTTTACAGCAGTAGTGTCAGCATCAACCATGCCAGGTTAAACAACTGTGAGAAGTGTGTGGAGCTGAGTTTAACAAGTGTCCTTCCGTGTGCTTACTCTTCAGGTCCGTGTGGTTGTCACATAAAAAAACAATCTTGAAAATTAAAGTTGCAATGAAACATAAATAGGTATAGTAAAATGAATCTACATTATTCTGGGTACATCATCCAGTTTTCTTGTGCCTTTTTAGCAGGGGGATGGGGAGAGGGTGGGTTGCAAAGATGGGCTACACCTCCTGGGAAATATTCTTTACAGTTTGGGATGTGTGTCTGTGAGTCAGCTGATGTGTATCTACAGATCAGCCATGAGTTTGCAGTCTGTCTGAGGAACATGACATGGCCAGGGCCAGATACTGCTCATATGTTCATCTCTGCAACCCCCTCCTAATACACACACACACGCACACACAGACACACGCTTTCTCTCAGGCTTGTCACCTGGAGTACCCGCAGTGACTTAACACCCACAGGGGTGAGTCATGTGACTGCTGTGTCCCATGTTTGACACTTAATATTCACCACCTGGTGTTATTTACATGGCATTAAATGGGAGATGGACACTGCCCTCGCTGACTCCCCCTTATCTGATCAGGATAAAATGACCAGACCTGCTGTTAGAAAATATTAAATAAAATAATATCAAAAGCCTCACGTTACCAGTCTGTAATACAGTTTTTTTTTCATAGCGCTTCCTCAGCCGTAGTTTGCCAGGCGTAATGTTATCCTGGAGCAATGTTAGCAGGCTGTAATTAAATATGAATGGAGTGCTGTTGGTGCTCGGCCAGTTTGTTTCATCGAGTGCTGGCCTGGAGAGAAACACACATCAAATCAGTTGTGTGGGTGTCACTAGACCCACTATGGCGCTCTCCACGACAGGGAATCTCAGTGGTCCTGTGTTCAAAGAAGGGGGCCCAAGTTACCGAGGCTGTATTCAGATTCAACCTATTAAAAATAGCTCACAATAACAAACTTTTGGTGGAAAAAGAGTGTCTTTCTCGCTTCACCAGAAATTCATGGAGAACAGATATAACAGATAGTTCATTTATTCTGTGTAATTAGATGCTGAGCAGGGCTAATACATATGGTGTCATTAAATGGAAATGTAGAGTTGTAAAAGGAGGACTGTATGATACAGGCAGCCTTTTCTAAAGAGCTGCTCTGACTGTGAGCTCCTTCTTCTCGCTGGGAGGGACCTCCTTTATTTGAGGCAACTCAAGCATGAATTCTGTGAGGGAAAGATTGGGGACAGTTATATTCACTTCTGTTTGTTGTCCGGTTGAATGAAATGACCTTTAAGATAAAGCAAATCTCTTGAGCAACTCAGGTGAAGAAAGGAGCGCACAAATAGAGTAGATGTGCTGAAAGGAACTTTTTAAATGCAGCACTGAAGGAGGTTTGCTGGAGCATGCTTAGTTAAAAGACTGCTGTTTGCTGGTAACCCTGCTCTGCCACCCGGACATTGTCACATGGAAGGAGGCGCTGGCTGTGGCTGCTGCGTACTTTGATTCAAACAAAAGCAAACACCAGGGATTTTCTGTTTTTCATTTTATTTTTGTTCAGGAATAGTCTTGTAATGATTCGCTTGGGAGAATGAAATGGTGGAATAATGCAGGCTAATCTAGAGACTGGTCAATTAAGTTGCTCCTTCAACCTACATTCACAGTATGGGCCTGTAATTAGCCCTCCAAAAGCAAAGGTATTTTTCGCGGATGGGTCTCTTTGAATTCCTCCTGACTCCGGCTGGAAAACGTTGAGTCTCTGTGGCTTTGCAAAAGGCCTGTGAGCTACAGTCTCCCAGTGACTAAATGCTATAGTGTGTCCCGAAAAAGAGGAATTAAAAGTCAAGGCTGTGAAAGTACAGTCAGTGATTAAAACAACAAAATGAACCCTTTCATTCACAGCCACGTTTTGTTTTTTCCTGGTAGACTGGTGTGCCTCCACTCACCAACTCTGCCACCTACAATGAGGGCAGACTCCAGGCTGCCTGCGTACTTTTGGTGAGGAAGTTAATCATATACCTCAGAGTAGCACAACACAAGAAAAGCGGTGTTTGTAAACCTGCCCCCACGGCTCTGCCCATAATTGGCTCTACAAGTGACTGCCTCGGCTTCCTGTCAGCATTATATCTGTGTTCACGCCGGCCCAGCTGCTGAGACATTTGTTCCTCAGAAACATGGCTGCTGTTTTGATCGTTGGACTGTGAAAGGAAAAGTAGCCTCCACAATGGCAGTAATGTGTGGAGGATTTGTCCTGGCTGTGGAGAAAGACCAGTCTCAGGCCTAAAATGATGAGGATAAGAAAGACTTTAGTGATGTAGAAGCTAGTTATTCATTTATTCTTATTTTTTTCTACTAAAATTCTATCCTGCAAAAGAAAACACAACATCATCGTAACTAGTTTTAGGAGAGGTGAGGTGTAACCAGTCGCCCAAATGTTTTTATAAACATGTTGTTTTGATAAACTTATCTGCCTTGCAAGAGGTGGTAGAGGTGGAGTGTGCTGGAACTATTAACATAGTTAATATAAATCAGTTTAAAAAATTCTCCTCAATATTTAAAAGAAAACACTTGGCTGTAGGGATGAAACAATATGTATGAGGTTTTTATACAAAAACCTATAAAAAATATAAATAGTGGCCATTGTTTCTTCTTTATTATTTTTTTTATTCACAAATGAGAAAGGTTCAGGCACAATACTGCCTCCTACTGGATCTATTTTTGACCAGTAAATATACTCAAAAGTAAAAGTAGTGCTCTTAAAAATAAAAAAGAATGAAAAGAGAGAGATGTTTCATTTGTAGCATTGCTGAAAACAAACTGTAGACCAAATACCAGCAGTGATAATATCTAAGAGGATTTATTTTAAATTAATTTTTGCTTTATATATTTTAACAGGAGAGAGAAACTTACAGTAAATGTAATTAAAAGGATAAATATACAGGAATAATTGTTTTGTTTTTTTCAGTTTGGCTCTTGTGGGTTGAAAAACAAAAAAATGTAAATTCACCAAAAGAACGAAAATACTCTAAGTACAAATATTAAAACATGGGCGTTATAAAAACAATCAAGGTAGTGAATTTACAAAGTTACATGTTTTAATTTTTGAGAAGCACAAATTAAACATCTCTTGACACCCACAGAGGTGTGACTGCTCCACAGTGGAGAGAATGAACGGAACAAAGACGGCGACTGAAGCCAAGCATCTTTTTGGCATCTCTCAGCGGTAAACAGATTCTTATTAGGTGGCAGCAGAAAACTTTTTTTTTTCTGAAGTTGACACATGGCAAGAATCGTAGATTAACATCGAAAATGTTAAAATGGTGCTAGTGACACCTCGACTTGCAGAGGAATGTAACTTCCTGTGCAGCTGTCAAGGAAGGCTTTCCAGCACCTCAGGCTGCTGCTGCTGCTGCTGCTGCTGCTGCTGCTGCTGCTGCTGCTGCTGTTGTTGCTGTTGCTGTGTCTGAACCTCTGCTAATAGAGCGTTCAATTAAAAGGGGCGCACATGGAAAACACTTAGAAAATGTTTATAATTAGCCACAGTCACCATAAAATAGGGTTAATGATAAATTTGCAATAGTAACCATTTGTTTGCTACAGTCTGGGTTTTTGAACAAAAAACATGTCTTTAACTTGAAGGCTGTCCTGAAGTTGTTTTTTGTTGAAGCAAAAAAAATTGAAGTGAATGATCTTCTTTAAAAAAAAAAAAAAATGAAGTGAATGATTGAAAAATCTTTAGGAGCAGATGATGAATATATTAGCGTTAACTTCGGAGTCTTGCATCACATGTTTGTTGTTCTTGTTCTTAAGCTGTTTGGGTTTTTATTTTTGGCAGCTATCGTATCCATATACTAGCAGGACTGGCTCAAGTTGCAGCTGGCCTCTGTGCCACGTGTGTTTGCCCTGGTTGTTGTCCAGACGAGTCAGTGCTTTTCGACATCCTAAAAACTCACGTATGGCTCAATATGATGCTACTACCATTTATAGTCAGACCGGATTTGTTTGGGAGTTTTTGGAAAACCGCACGTTGATGAACATCCTGCCTGAGACATTTAATTGTGGCTGCTCTTTTTTGTGCACAAGCAATGCTCTGCCTTTTTAAGACTTGTTTTTTCGAAAGCATCCACATGTTGAGAGATTTCTTTTCTACGGCCCAGTCAACTCCAGGTGTTTGAAATAGGAATAAATTAGAATTCTAGGAAAAGGAGCTTCATAATATCAACATTAAGCTGTCATAGTAGATGAGCACCGAAATATTCTGAGTACACAAAGAGACACCTCAGTCATAAATAGCACTGCGGTGAAGCTAAATATTGACTCTGACTCCATACTGTTGTCTCCTGTGGCTGCAGATCTTTGTCTCTCTCCCTCTCTCCCTCTAGCTCTCTCTCTCTCTCTCTCTGTCTCTCTCTCTCTCTTTCTCTCTATCTGCCAGCATGTAGCTGTAATTGAATTGTAAACAACCGCCACTATGTTATTATTTACTGCGTTTTGTTGCACAAACCGCTGGACCACCGCCTGGCTGCTGGAGTGAAGCTCTACAAAGTCACTTTGACATGTTTCCTAAAAGGCAAGGAAAACAATATATGGCCCACTCATCCATAAGTCATGGCGTTTGGCGCAGCACCGGTGCATCCAGCAGAATAGGGCTTTATGAATGGCACAAAGTCTGTGAATGATAACGGTCATTAATATGTCCATTGAGGTTCACCACATTCATGCCACATATCAAATCCCCTTTGAATGAGATCAGTTCCCTCCTGTCAGAGCCCATTAGATCCGTCCCACAGCCCCAGTGGCCAGCTGACAGGAAAGAAACCCTAGCCCCGGCCTAGCACCATTAGCATTAGAAAATGAGCAATCAGCTGGAATGAAGCGCATAGGGGTGGGGGACTGGTCCAAACTTCAGTAGGGACACGCTGGAGATAGAATTCAGAATCTAAATCCAACGTCAGGGAGATACTGTGCTCTGTAAACACCGAAAATAGCAAACTTTACTTCATTATTTCATGTTTCCCCCTTAAATCTGACCATTCCTACTGCTTCCATTCACTAAGGTTAGTGTGGTCATGGGGGGGTTGTGTGTGTTCAAAAGCTGCAGAACTAAACTTGCACTTCCTCTGCCCTGGAGATGTTCTGGCTGCACACTGAAAATTGCGTTGAACCTCTTTGACTTTGTGAAATAATTGAGTTAAAACACTCGATAAAACATTAATTAGCTTAGCCGTCTGGAGCAGATAACATAGATAAAACCCTATGTAATTCATATTGATTAGAATATGCACATTGAGCGTAACCTCTTAAGACAAGTTTTCCTTATTAAATGGACACAAAGCCCAGGTCATTATTCGTACAAAGAAAGATCGCTTTAGATTTTATCTTTTCACATAAAAAGCTTTGATTGGATTTCTTTCTGAGGAAGCGGCACAATCTATTTTATTCTGCTTTGATTGTATTACCTCTTAATTAGTTTGTATATTGAGTAGAACAGGCCTTATTGATTGGAGGTGCATTCATTTGCATTGCAAAAATCCCTTTTAATCCAATATAATCTCATCCTTACTCAAACACAGCAGACTCACTGCTCTGTTTTTCTGGTCTTGTCTCCAGGGTTAGAATAACTTCTCGGCAGAAATTAGAGATTGCCTCCTGTATGCAAAAATCATTTTGCTATATTTGGCTGTTTATTTAAAGGTAGTTACAGTCAATTTTGGTGTATTTCATGTGGAGAATTGCCCGTTGCGCCTGGTAATTTATGCGTCAAGTGTAATAACAAGCTGCGGTATTTTCATGTGGCCGTGTTGTGGGGTTTAATTTGGAGCTGCTCCGGTGAGTGATTGGCGTTTGTAGGTGTTGTGTGTAAATCTGATGCTGAACACCCGTGGAGCCGGCGGAGCCGTGTCACAGAAATCAGCATTGGAGGCGTCAATTCCCTCCTACCAGCCCAGCGCACAGCAGCAGGCTTAACAATTCTCTGTAATTAACCTCACCTGAACTTTAATGACCCACCTCCGGGACCAAGGGCCATGGCTGTGTAAAATTACTGTCACACATGGAGCCAAGAGGGAGCCCCGCCGCAGCGGGTGTGTTCCACTCAGACAACTGAGAGAAAAATGGACCCCTGTGTAACACCTAATACCACCAACACCATGTCAGAGCACTCACACACATTTTAGGGCTGGAGAGGTGGGGGCTGGAGGTGATAGATGCTGGAGCACAGGAAGGGGTTTTCCGTGGCTGAACACGACTGCTCCAAAACTAATCTGTTTTTAAGGTTTTAGTTTTCTGGCCAGAATATAAAGTTATTATTTTAAAATGGTGAAGGCTGATATTATGTTGTTTTTCAACCAAGAGTTATCACTTAACATGTAAAAAACATAATCGAAACAGGCATTTTAAACAGTTAGTTTTTGTCGATGTGGAGCTAAAAGACTAAGGTTTGTTTCTTGGCTATTTTAAGCATTTTGAGTATTTCTCAGTTAAAAATGTAGCCTGTATACAAACTCATGTTTAGTCTCAGAACTTTCTTTTTTCTTTTATTTCAGCCACGCTGATAACTAAAGGCTACTATCAGTTTGCTAAGTTCTTGGATGCTTGAACAGATATATCAAGGTACAGACTACATGTTGTTAAATCTCACACTGTGTACCCTAGAGCTGCAGTTACAGGCAGGTAGAATGGACTTCTGTCTGTGTAGAACCACACCAGCATAAAAGAGAAAATTATTTTAAATGTGCCTCTTTTGAGCTGGTTAGCATTAGGCTTTCTCCACTATACCAGTTAGCTGTAAAAAAGTTAGCCTGGACAAGTCAGTCACCAACATATGATATGCATGGTATTGTTGTGATTATGGTGTTACCTATGGGCAGATAGTATCTTTGTGCAGCCCTGGTTTGGGAGTTCTTGCGGCCGGTTCTTTGACACATTATCTGGGAAGAAATGTTCTTGTTATTCCAACATTTATCATGTTATTGGTCTGAACATGAAGTCAGGTTGAAAGGCAAAAGTCTCAATCTCTTTTTAAGCCCATTGTCATGATAAGAAAACCAACACATATCAGCCTTAAAGAGAACCTTCTGGACTGTGCAGTGACAGCGCTTTGACACCAAGAGAGCCATGTGAACACATTCACATGTGGGTTAATTGGACACTCTCAATTGATTGTATGTGTGAATGTTTATCTCTGCCCCCGCCACAAAGTTTGGCTGGGATTGGCTCCAGCCATTGGCTCCAATGTGGCCAATCCCAATCAACTTGCATTCTATTTACTTGTAGCTGCGATTACATAGACTTCTTTAGTTAAAAACAGTCTGTAATCTGTGATTATAATTGGCCTTGTCTATAAACGTCATAACAATTCAAGTCATAACAATTCAAGTCATAACATACATCACTAATGTAAGCACAGAGGAGCCTCACAACAGTCGCTGCTGCCGCTGCTATAGATGCCATGTTTGTGGCTTTGGATGGAAACCACTCAGACACAGTGTGCGTAACCAGAGGCCCGGCACAGACGCACTCTTATCATATAGCTCATAATGGGATGGTAATAATAAACCTGATCACCAGTATCAAAGGATCTTCCAGGGCAGCATTTATGACTCAACACAGATTATCTTGTTCCACAAACTTTCATCCATCAGACCAGATCCAAATCCTGTGGTTGTGGGTTCTGCTACTTCCTTTATCGTTTTTCCTCAGCCACTTCAGAAGTCCCTCACACAACAGCTGCATACAGCTACTGAGGCACTGGGCCACGCACAGGGAACACTGATCTGAGGCCTGTGTGTGTGTGGTACATCTGAGCAGACTGGTGGGGATCAGGGTGTTTTCTGTGATGGATACAGTAAGTCTGAAGTAAAACAGTCGGCCAGGCTTCTGGTAGCAATAGTGTGTGTGTGTGTGTGTGTGTGTGTAGTCATATGCCCAGTGGCTGAAACACGCCTGTGGGTGAGTCACAGCTGTTATTCAAGGATCAAACAGTGTAAGTGGGCTCTGTGTTTACCATCAGGTCTGATGTTTTATCAGCGCTGTGTTTTTCTGCCACAGCTCAGAGACAAAACAGGGATACGTACAGAGAGAAGATCCCAGACCTCCACCACTCTGAGTCACATACACTTCAACCTTTTTTTTTTTTTTTTTGTCGTTGTTGACGTACTTCTTCCTTTTTTTAAAAAAATATATATTTTTGACTTCTTATTTTTAAAATGAACATTTGTCCCGTTATTCCCACAGTAGGGTTTGTGGTCCAACACAAACACACACTCACACACACACATATTTTTGTGTGATGCACTGCCAAAAATAGTGTAACATTTACACAAACTGTATTTTCATCCAAACTGACAGGAAGTCTTCTTTATTATTATTATTATTGTCAAAAATAAAATAAACCAGATTTTAAAATCTTGTATTTAAGAACTCAGTCTAATATAAAGGAAATCCCTCCAAAGTGTCAAATAATTAACAAAACATTTTCTGACTAATGTAGACTTAGATTTGTCACCTAATGTCAACTCTATTAAATATGTATTACCTTTTAAAGTTTTAAAAGAAATTAAATATATGAGTGTGCTTTGTGTGTGTGTGTATGTGTGTGTGTGTGTGTGTGTCTAACACTGAGACGACGACATGGTGAAAATCTGCAGATTTCCATATATTGATTAGCTGGTGGGC